ACACTATAAAAGCATAAGTAATCAATCATAGAGTTTCTTAACATTCTTAGTCCAACCTATTTTTTAAATTAGCCCCCAAAATCGCAGGTAGGTAGCTTAAAAATTTAGGAATGCCGGGCATTCAACAGTAGACCAATCATGCAGAACTGGGGCCCCTCGTCCAACACTCTCACCCATTCGTCCCGCATTCCCACACTCACCCCCTCATCCCCACACTCACCCCTTCGTCCCACACACCCACCTTACCCAGACTCTCTCGTCCCGTACACCCCCCTACTTTCACACCCACACACAATCACCCCCCGCCCCCGCAGATCTGGTAGCTAAGTGGACAGCACGCAGCCCGGGTTCGATTCCCGGAGCAGGCAGAAACAAATGGGCAAAGTTTCTTTCACCCCTGATCACCTAGATGTAAATACGTACCTGGGAGTTAGACAGCTGTTACGCGCTGCTTCCTGGCGATGTGTGGGGAAAAAAAATTAGTTAGTAGTTAGTAACAGTTGATTGATTGACAGTTGAGAGGCGGGTCCAGAGATCCCATCATAATGGTGGCACTCTTCAAATCACTTGTGTTGTCCCGTCTTGAGTACTGCTCAGTACTCACTTCCCCCTTCAGAGCAGGAGAGATGCACGCACAGACGAGATAAAGCACCTAAATTATTGGGATCGTCTCAAAGCTTTCCAAATGTACTCACTAGAAAGGAGACGAGAGAGATACCAAATAATATACACATGGAAAATACTGGAGAGACAGGTCCCAAATCTGCACAGTAAAATAACAACGTACTGGAGTGAACGACATGGAAGAAAATGCAGAATAGAACCAGTGAAGAGCAGAGGTGCCATGGGCACAATCAGAGAACACTGTATGAACATCAGAGGTCCACGGTTGTTCAACGTCCTACCAGCGAGCATCAGAAATATTACAGGAACAACCGTGGACATCTTCAAAAGGAAACTAGATTGTTTCCTTCAAGGAGTGCCGGACCAACTGGGCTGTGGTGGGTATTTGGGCCTACGGGCCGCTCCAAGCAACAGCCTGGTGGACCAAACTCTCACAAGTCAAGTCTGACCTCGGGCCGGGCTTGGGGAGTAGAACTCCCAGAACCCCATCAACCAGGTAACCCTTGCCTCGATCATATCCCCACTCCTTCACCCGTCACCCAGCAGGCTATCACCACCTTCGCTCCCAACATTATAGGATATAAAGACATTTAATCTATTTAAAATGAAATTGCGTAGATAATAAACAACTTAAGATTTCTTGTATGACTGATATAAAGTTCGTAAATGTAATATATTTCACTTTTAAGTTTAATTCATAAATTATACCTGTCTTTTTTTTTTTTAGCTTAAGTACACAGCATTTTGTGCATTGGTGCTGCCTAGATTGTTGTGCGTTCTATAAACTCATCCTATGAACAGTACACATAGGATTGCAGAGGCCACAAATAAGAGGTCTTAGGTCTTTTAATCAGACCTCAACATCTAGACCCCCATTAAAGGTGAATTGTCAGTGCGAGATCATTGTAGCAAAGTTGTATTCGAGCTGCGGCATCTGCCAGTCTGCTATTTTAATACTTGCCCCATACAAGTGTTTTGTTTGACGGTTCATTGTGATAAACAATGGATCTGTTAGTTCATATTTATCCTCTTACTTCAAATTCATTTACGAGTTCTCACCTGATGACACATTTTACAATTCTGTTTGAGAGCCCAAGATTGTGTTTAGCATTGTTTACAAGCCTGTCCAATGTATCAACTTCATGTTCTTGCAACTCGATGTGGAAAGGGATCCACAATTTGACTTGTGACCCCCCTTATTATCTGTACTTGTCTACAGAGACACGTACACACAATTTGATTATAAGCTATTCAAAGCTAGTAACGAGGAAAGGTTTGCAGAGATAATTAAGCTGTCTACTGCAGTGTTTTCGAAATTTCCGAGTGTTGCAAGACTAGCCAACAGTTCAGCTTGTAAGATGAAATGCCCAATTATTGTCTCATTACATTCCACTCAGCTGTGTTACCGTTGAACTGATGAATAGAAAAGTTGCCGTCCTTACAATAGCCCTGTTGAGAGATAAATCAATGTATATGGTGTTATATTGCTTTCAGTTTGTATATGTTCAAGGAAACTTAATTTAGCAGCAAGCAGAGTACAAGGATTGTGTATTTGGCTTTTTGGTGAGGTATGTAAGAAAGTAATTATATAAAAAAAAAAAAAAGGCACCAAGTCGGGGATACTTTATAGCACGGTGCATATGTAGGCGTCGCATGTCAAAAGGTTTATCTGCCAGGGTGGTAGGAAGTTGTTTACTTTCACCTTTGCACACTTCAAACTAGACATTTTAATGACTGCTTGTCTTCTAATTTTTCATGTCACGTGTTCCACAGCATGTGTATTCTAATAATGTCGCTGCTACAATATTATTTTTACTAACATACAAAAGCTCATTTTACCATGATAGTTTCAAATACTCTATCTCGAAGGCCAGGTATATCTAGTTCTTTTCTGATATCGAGAACTTTGGTAGTTATTAGACAGCAAATATAATTCAGAGGGCTTCATTTTGCTATGATACAGGATTAAGGCTGATGCATGATAAGTCTAATCAAAGATTTAATAGACTAAATAAAAAATTTTTGCTTTTTAAATATTTACATTGTAGTAAGGGCTTTACCTCACCACAATTACAAGAGCCTTAAGTTTGTCCTTATATTACTGATGCCATTTTTTTAATGCAGTTAATGTATAAGGTTAAGATTTGTTTAAGGTTCTTTAACATCTCCAAATTTTACTACAGGTACAAGCTGTCAAGTTTGATGTCGTCTGCATAATATCCAGTGGGGGACTTTTGTTCATTGTTCTGTTCATTGGATATAAAAATAGCTTCTTCAGCTTTCTTGCCTTTGAGGAACAAAGATTAAAAGTAGGAATTGTAAATACCAGTATTGGTTAAAAAGCACAGAATCATGCTGTCATTATGGTCAGCATTACTGATAACATAAGACTGATTGGCATAAAGGATATTTGTATCATTTCTGTCAAGTATTTACTAGAGTAGTCTAGTGGGTCCCCTGAAAATAATTATGTACTCAATACCCACTACATTATGAGTGTAAACAGGCATAGAATTCTGATCGAACTTCGTCTGTTGCATCACGATACTCCTGTAGTGCAGAGGTTACAAAGTCTTGCTACTACATGCACTTATCATTCATATGCACATAATAAATCTACACACACTTTGTTAGACTACTATCCTTTGACCTGACAATGGACCACATAAGCCACATTTAAATGTGCTTCAGACAATCCGAGCTACTGCTACCTGATCCCCCCTCCCTCCCCACTTAGTGGAAGCTAGACCACACCTGTATCAGTTCTGTCACTGTACCAGCTATGTTTACTTTTTAGTAATCTAAAGCATAACTTCCTATTACAACTTACTATTATCATATACATAACAAGCAAAATAAAAATATAAATGTTGAGTGAACTAAACATAAAGTTATTTACCTAAGTCATCAAGGCCACTTCCACATTTTTATACTGTATTATAACTGCCATACAGTAAAACAAATATAGTTCTATGTATATTTATATTTATAATGTATTATGACAAAAAATATTAAACTGCAACATATGAATATAATATAATAAGGTTGCTAATAAATACCCACCCTGTATAAGTATCTGTCAAAACATCAAATTTCTGGCAAATTTCGTTAATAGGTCTGCAAATTGCAATTTGTTAAGTTCACAAAAATTTCAAGGGTTTAACATTCATGTTCAGTAATTGTAAAACCGAATAAGATGCTAGTCTCCTATTGTTATTTTGATGTTACAAGGCAAGGAAAGACTCGGCCATGTAAAATTACATTAACTAGAACAAAATCAATATTGTTGCAGTCTCCGTGGTGTAGTGGTAAGACACTCGCCTGGCGTTCCGCGAGCGCTATGTCATGGGTTCGAATCCTGGCCGGGGAGGATTTACTGGGCGCAATTCCTTAACTGTAGCCTCTGTTTAACGCAACAGTAAAATGTGTACTTGGATGAAAAAACGATTCTTCGCGGCAGGGGATCGTATTCCAGGGACCGTAGGATTAAGGACTTGCCCGAAACGCTACGCGTACTAGTGGCTGTACAAGAATGTAACAACTCTTGTATATATCTCAAAAAAAAAAAAAAAAAAATATATTTTTTTTTTACTTACTGTGTAACAATTATTATTTCTCAAACTAAATACAGTATTTACACAAACATCAAAAAATATTTTATTTCATTGACTATATATACTATGTATTGTGCATTAATAACTTGCACCAGGAGCTCTGGTTCCCTATGTAAACAGGGCTCAGTCCAGAGCTGAGAAAACAAAAAAATGCCCATTAATAAATTAGGAAAGGGTTGGGTTAGGGAATCATTGAGTCACTGAAGCCTAATCAGGAAAAGGCAATTTCATTACATTAAATGCTGGTTTTCTGGAGGGTGTCAAATGATGGCTCCTAGTATTTGTACAAGGAAGTACAATGAAAAAAAAAATCCCAGAGAGCGAAGACTAAACCTTCAACAATGACAATTTTATGGATGAGAAACCCAGGAACAGAGACCAGGTAATGAGCTGCCAGAACCCTGTTACACTTCAAAAACAGGACTGAAATCTGTTGACATGGGGAGCCAGAGATCCTGGTAGTGGCTCTCTGTAATTAGCAAGTTCAACCTAACTGCTGGGTTGATAGTTTGCAGCCACTTGTGGCCTCGTTTCTTTCCAGTGAACCTTGCAATTATCTGTTTTGCTTCACTTGTTTTTTGGATGTTTCCATGAAGGTAATCATAACAATCCTCTGCTCTCTGCACATCTGTGAGCGGAGCCATGTTCTGGCTCTGGTCTCCAGTAGGCAATACAGATTCCCAAGGCTGATGTGACTTGTGTGGAGCTACCTCAGCCCGTTACCTATGGGGAGCCACTGTTTGGCCCTTTCAGAAACAATTCTTATTTTGTCATCATTTTATTATAGTAAATTAAATTAAATACAAATTACTTTACACAAAACTATAAACTATCAAATAACACTCAAATTTCTAGAAAAACACCCCTGCAACACTCAAAAGTTTAAGCTAATGAGGGCATCATATATAAAAAAAACAGACAATATGAAGGAATTAATATAGGTACATGCTGAAAAGAACATGTTTAATATCTTCATTATTTACACTTGTTCACTACCAAAGAAGAATCGTAGCAGTAGTGTACAATACTTTTTTCTCAGGGTTTCACCAGACTTGCATAAGAATTTCATCTAAATTCATTCCCAGCACTCTTCTTTCCCTTAGGACTGGACAGAGTAATAAGTGGCACGCGTCGCGGTGTCTTTGACACGCCAGACGACGTCTTAATTGGAGATTCATCCCTTATGGTCTTGGTTGGGCTCTGATTGTCCCCTTCAAACTTCTTCTTCACTTCCTCATCTATAGCCATTACTGCATCCTGAAATACACCGCTTATTATATTCTAGGTTTTACAGATGGTTCTAAACAGTCTTCCAGGCTTGGCAAAATCTTTGATAATTACTGTATGTTATGTTAATTTTATCCATGAAACACAAGAAAGAAAAATTAATCCTTAATTTGGAAACAGTTAGTTTTACCCATAAATCACAAGAAAAGAAAATTAATCATAAATCTGGAATGGGTTAGGTTGTGAAATTTACTATTTTTAAATAATGTAATGCTATGCAAAATAAACAAAATAAATTATAGGTTAGTAAGGACTATGACAAAAAAATTATATTACATGAAGGAAAGATGAGAGAAATCGTTTACTCGGCATCAAACACTATTCTTTTGTTGACTCCAGAGCCTTTAATAACCTATCCATGTTCCACACAGCAATTTGAATGGCCCATTAACTGTATAAATGATAAAGTTTCTAATTTGACACGTGTTTCTACTTATCTTAATATATCCTTCAATATACCAACGCATCCTCCGAAATGACAGTACGGTTTTAATACTAAGTGCTCAGAACACTACCCTGGGGTACACCCTCATACTGCCAAAAAGGGGCAGAGAGAGTGGTACCGAGCCTCACACGAAAGGAAGGACGAGAGGGAGATTCCCATGAAGGCCAAAAGAATGAAGTTGGGACAGAATATGATACCGCCAGGTAGTGTCATAAGCCTTTTCCGGGTCAAAAAGGACGGCAACAACAGAGGTCTTTGCAGCAAAAGCAGTACGAATATAGATCTCCAAGTTCACCAGGACATCCGTTGTGCTGCGGCACTTGCGAAAACCAAATTGAGAAGGGGAGAGGTGGTGATAGTATTCTAACAACCACATCAAACGAACGTTAACCATACGTTCAAAGAGCTTGCAGACACAACTCATGAGGGCAATAGGGCAGAAGTCCTTGGGGGATGACCCGAGAGACCCTGGTTTCCGAACGGGGAGAACAACAGCATCGAGCCAGTCCTCAGGGACTGACAACGACTCCCAGACCTGATTGTACAGACTCAGTAAATACCGAGACGTGCACGGAGGGAGATGAGACTGTAGGAATTGAAATTTGAAAATTGTAACAAATGTAAACTAGGATATATATATATATTATATATATATATATATATATATAATATATATATATATATATATATTATATATATATATATATATATATAATATATATATAGAAATTTATAATATATATATATATATATATATATATATATATATATATATATATATATATATATATATATATATATATATATATATTATATATATATATATATATATTATATATATATATAGATATATATATATATATATATATATATATATATATATATATATATAATATATATATATATATATTATATATATATATATATATATATATATATATATATATATATATATATATATATATATATATATATATATATATATATATATATATATATAATATATATATATATATATATATATATATATATATATATATATATCTATATATAATATATATATATATATATATATATATATATATATATATATAAGCAGGCATCGCTGAGCAAGGATGAAGTGCCTGAAACATTTACAGTTAGGTACACAATGACGGACAGAATGTCAATGTTAATGTATTTTCTCTCATCTTCCTAAATATATTGATACAACTTATGAATAATTTATAGTTACTAAATTGGTTATTTTTGGTTGTATTTAAAACATTTCTATTATATTCAATGGATGTGTTCTGTAATATCAATGAATGCTTGGTACCTCAGTAATAACAGAAGGTTTTGTAGACTCTGAATTATGGCTGGTTGAGTTCTCATCAGTTTTGACAGACGGACCAGAGAGTGTTATCAGTGCAACTCTCTTACCAGGCTTAGAACTGAAAGTATACAAGTAAACCATTAGTACAACACTCTCACTAAACATTATGATAACATATAACTCACCTCTAAAGCCAAAGTGGCTAAGCCTAGAATAAAGCAAGGCTTATACTTTTTGTCTTTGTATACAGCATGTAATGTATATTTTAGCTGAATATTGAAATATGCTCCTCTCCAAGTTTGTCATTTGTTCAATGACGTGAAATGCCGTCATGTGAATATGTTTGAATTTTTCTCTTTTATGCACAATTGTTTAGTATGTGTGTGTGTGTGCCTTTTCAAACCACATTACAACATAATTGTGAAAGGAAATCTAAATATTTTCACACCTCCTTTAGAGCAGAAACAAACCACTCATTATCCCCCCCTCCCTTTGAACAATAATCAGGGTCACCTAGGCATCCAATTACTGCTGTGCAAACAGAGGTGTTACCTATCACCAGGTGGCAGTTCAAGCTACACAACACTACCAGGGAGCTAGAAACCTCACTTAAAGTTCAGATCACCAAAGCAAACTTGAAAAGAAGGGACGTCACATGCGAATACGAAGGCAATCAAGTAGTTACTCCCACTGTTGCTCAACGAGCTACACACATACACACACAGGTACATGCATACAGGTACGGTTGAGAAGCGGGACCAAAGAGCCAAAGCTCAACCCCTGCAAGCACAATTAGGTGAGTACACTCACACACACACATAAGAGGCAATATAATAATTACAAAATACTACCAGGAATTGACAAAGAGGAATTCCTGAAACCAGCAACATCATCAACAAGGACAAAAATTCAAGCTAAGGAAACAAAGGTGTCGAAAAAACATTAAACAGTTTTCTTTTGCAAATAGTGGCAAATGATTGGAGCAAGCTAAGTGAGAAAGTGGTAGAGGCCAAAACTGTCAATAGTTTCAAAGCATTATACAACAAAGAGTGCTGGGAAGATGGGACACCATAAGCATAGCTCTCACCCTGTAACTACACTTAGCTAATTACACAACAGGCACAAACTGTAAGGCATCAAATGAATGAGGGCTGTTAAGAAACTCTTTTGTCTGGGTGCCAGATGAAAAATATGGCTCACAATGTGCAGCAACATTTACAGAAAGGACAATAAATCATCTCCCACTGACCCTAGTAAAGATGAAGAGCATCCAACGCAATTGTCTTGATCACTAAACAAAACCATATATATTAAGCAGCCAAGAAAGGGAGACCTAATCTGCCTCCTATGCTAACTAAAACAGGAAATCTGTCTGCAAACACATTAAGAGACTATGTGAATGTGAAGTGCATGAAGGACTACCATAGAAGCCAAAAGAAAGGCATTGCCTAAAGCCCAGTATCACAATGAGAGAACTAAGAGTGCAGCCAGACAGCTAAGCCCTAAGGAAGAATCATCATCCATTCTGTTGCCACCTCCCAGGTGTTGATGCAAATATACATCATTCCTTGCATTAAAGTCTTAGATGGGAATGCTGAAAACTGAAGACAACGTTACAACCTAAGCGTGGGTGAAAAGCTCAAGCAGTGGAATCAGAGGACCAAATGCAGAAAAATTTGAACAGGCAACAAGAAAACTGCAAAGTATCAACATTGTAAAATATAATTACAATCTTCTAATTGTTTTTCATTTATAATGTTTATTTCCCTATAAACGTTAAAATGTGCAAATAAGTATTTTATTATTAAATAAAATCAGCCAAGATTATTTGTAAAAGCTCTCATACTTAATCCAACAGGCTATCACATGAATTGATTTGATCAGGGCAAGTTGCAATGCTTGAATTATTTAGTCTGACATATATTGTCACTAAAAAATACATTAACAGTAATACTAATTAACATGCATATATACATACTGTACGATGACAAATGTGCAACACAAACCTTTCTCCAGCTCTTCTGACAACCATGGGTTTCTTTTTAGATTGGCAAGAGGGTGACTTTTCATTTTCAATCTCTACTGTTGTTGTTTCAGTAGATACTGATGCTGGCTTAGTCTCCTCTGAATTAGATGAACTTATGTCTACATTTTCCTTCACATTTTCTTTCATTTTTTCTTTGTATGGAATTCCTACTTCATCCTTGGAAAACGATACTAGGGAACAATAACCATCTGTTGAGGAAACCACAAGAATGCGACCATCACTGGACCTGAAAGAAATATATGAACATTTGACTCTTGAATAAGTATAAGTATGTTGAACACGCCAGATAACACAAAGCATGAACGGTAATGTGATCAGTCAAGAGGAAAAAGCAACTACTGCATAGTGAGTAGCAAAGCACATGTCAGGTAGATAAGATTTCCTGATATAAATTTCTAAAAGGTCATTAAGTATAAAGGATTGAGCAATATCATTAAATATTAATTTTTTTTTCTTAACAGAGGGGTAGGGAGGGACAGGCAGCCTCTTTATAACATTTCTAATTTATCCATAACACACAACATAGCCCAAAACTAGCACCACTACTTCAAACTTCTACTACTTTATTTTAAATATTAATTTTCCTTACACCTCCCCTCTATAGCCCTATACTTCTTAATAACACTTTACCATTCCAATGATGCTAAAATGCATGATCCATACTTTGAAAGTAAACGTTCTGATGAAGCTAAAATGAGTCATCCATCTCGCAATTCGTGAAAATATCTTTTGGGGTGGAGGGGGAGCAGTGTGGTCATTGCTTATCACCGGACCCTCCAGTGATCACCTCGGCCAACCACCCATCACTCAAGTTGACAAGTGCTGTGCTTGTGAATATTTTTCACTATGCTTTGCAAATTACCTGCCGGAAAAGTATGAAAGTTATGTTTGTTTTCTTTTTACTGTAAAAGTGAAAGATTATGTGCACACACTTCCTCATTTTATCATTTTACTTTGAAAAATAAACGAGGAATGCTGAGAAATATATGAGGAATGTTGATATATTCATTAACATTCATATATTCAGCACTGGCACACACAGCATATTTTCAAAACACATTTAGTTTTGCATCTATACTCTAACAAAATCTTTCACAGACATTTTGGCACCAAAAATATAGTTATAACCCAAAATGTGAGAAAATGTAAAAAAAGATATTTGCATTGTTGGGCACGACTTTGACACATCCAGAACATTTACAGTTGGAAACACACTAACAGCGCGGAATGTTGAAATGTCAATGCTAACTTTCTTAGAATAATATTAAAATAAGAGAACTCCAGTAAATTGGTGGATGGTAAATGGAAATTGGTAAATGGAACTAAAGTACTTATAAATTTTATTTACCTCTGGTAAATAATGAATTTGTAATTCCTTAATGATGATTTCATTGAAAACAGGACAAGACGACATAAGAGGAAGTTTGAAAGGGAAAATGGATCACAGTAATATTAGGAAATACTGGGATGATGTATGGTATGTGAACAAGAGGAATGCACTAAACCTGTGACAGCTAGGGTACTTCCAAATTTTAAACAACTTGAACATTTAAAAAGCATCAGGTACAAACAGCATTGCCCAAAGAGCTAGCTTTCATTCCCCTTAGACACTGGCATGTAAGCAGTGGAGGATATGAATGGAATCAAAGGATCAACAGATACCAGCTACCCAATGCCCACTTGACCCTAAACAGGATTGGCCAGCCAGTGAGTCAACCGAACCACTCTGAACCTACCATCCTACCCATATCTCCATCAAAAAACCCTGTAGCTCCAGAAGCCACAGTCCATGAGTAGAACCAACTTTCAGATGAAGGGAAAAGGAAAATAAACAATTAATATCGACAAAATACATGCAAGATGTATGAAGCAACAATGAGTAGAAATTACGTCATTCTAGTCACTGATAATTTGCCAAAATTAAATACCCTTATGCTCTCATTTATATGTTTACATTTTGTTTAGTAGAGGCTGACTTAAAAACAAGTGTGTGTGGGGGGGGGGGGGGGGAGGGTGGTTGACAACTCTCACTAAGGATACTACAATGTACTAAAATAGAAAATACTCGTCTCCAAAGACCTTGCTATCTGCAGATTCTGGTTACATCTACCATTTACTTAATTTTAGTTACTAACCACTAAAACATGCAACAAGTACTGTATTATTATTTACTATATTTAGAATTAAATCTCACCAGGTTACATCACTGAGACGAGTGTAGTGAATATTGGAGACCTTTGCAAAGGGAACTGGTTGCTGCGTGTCGTAGAGAAGAACAGCATTTTGAGTAGCAACGGCAAATATCATTCTATATGGCAAATTAAACAAATTTGAGTACTCTTGCCACTGTTCTCGAGGCTCATCCTGCAAGTTAAGGTTGTGTATCATTATTACATGCTCAGTGACATAGACTAACAAAATTCAAATAAATCTTTAGCTAATGTTTATTACCTTAGGAAATGTACAAAGCATAATAAATTTTGTAGAGAAGCATTATGAAGAATAACAAGCATGTATGAAGTAGAAGGAGTCTTGTTAAAAGTTAATTCTTATTTATTCAAGAAGTAAAGCATGTAAACAGCAGTGTAATGAGTGACCCGTTTTATTTAACTGCAGGAAAGCAATGTGGTTGCTTAATATCGCCATTGTTGTCCAATGTCCAGTAGTGACAGGACCACTGTGTCTTTTAACCCCGATGCAAGGATTGCTGATACCATGGTACAGTATAGGGGAAGGACTCTCATGTTTACCTTTCCCCAGATGCAAGGGTTGTTGACACCACAGTGTAGGGGAAAGACTCATGTTTACCTTGTATGTTTTTTTATATTCACTGCTTAGCAGTTTACATCAGTATACACACTAGAGTGCATGTTCAATAACTCAATGTACAGTACACCTAGTTACAATAATAGTTATTGAGTGCTGTATATACAGTAGAACTACAACATAATATGTACACCTGTTGCACATGACACTAACTGGCACAGCTCAAATGAGTGTCTAGCAACCCACTTCTTTGATGAGATTGGCTAGGAATGTCATCCAGACATTCGGTTCAAACACAAGCAGGAAATACCATATCATCATTTGACACTAGCTGCAAACCCTTAGTATGTGATAACCTCATCACATAATAAGCAATTACAAAACAAAAGCAGAATTTTTTCATGGGGCTTTGGTTAACCATACTGTATTCATATAGAGCTATTATAATAGCTCATATAGCAATATAGCTTTCAGCAATATGATGTGTTAATATCTTACTTCATGTTATCATTGGTATAAAACTGAAAAAATAAATTATTTTTTTAATGAAAAGTTTTTATATGGTATAAAACCATATAAAGAATATAAGGCAATTTTTGTTACACACAAATCTAAAACGATTGCACTATGAATTAAAGCTTACGTTTTGTGCTTCTTCTTCTTGACGTGGTATAGGCTGCAACTCAAATAGAATGGGGCAGAATCTGACAGCTAACGTGTATTTGTCCTTTGTGGGAAGATAAAGCACTGGCCTGCCAAAGAGAACACAAAAATGTGATAAAGAGGATTGATTATAAAATAAAATATGGTATTGTAATGAAATTCACACTCTTGGGTGTGCCACCTTGTTTCATTTCATACTTTATGACCTGTAAGCAATCAACCCTTTTTGACACACAGTGGTCAGCCACTTGTGTGACCTGCATCTCCAGTACTGCTTCCACAAAGCTGTCAAATTTTTCTTGAAGACTTCCACTTTTGCTCTGGCAATTTTTTTCTATACTGTATTTCCTAGGAGGATATTGAACAACCATGAACCTCAGATGGTCATACAGTGTTTGCTGATTGTGCCTATGGCACCGCTATTCTGCATTTCCTTCCATATTGTTCACTCCAGTATGTTGTTATTTTACTTTGGAAATTTGGGACCTGGCCCTTCAGTATTTTCCTTTAATATATTATTCGATACCTCTCTCATTTTCTTTCTACAGAGTACATTTTGAGAGCTTTGGGAGGATCCCAATTTTTTAGGTGCTTATCAAGTCTATGCATACCATGTGTGTTCTCTGTATTCCCTCTATTTCAGCAATCTCTCCTGCTCTGTAGGTGAAGGAAAGTATCGAGCAGTACTCAAGGCGAGACATCACACGTGCTTTGAATAGTATGAGCATTGTGATGCAATCCCTGGATTTGAAGATTTAGGGATGTGGGTGTCACCTCTCATGTGCAAAAGGTGCGAGGGAGTGTTTATTCATTGTGTGAAAGCCACATGTTGGGGCTTAATGGGTGTACACTGACCGAAAAACCCCACCCATTTAGCATCAAAACAATACCTTGATGGACTGCAGTCTCAACACTCCATGTGTGATGTCAGAAACCACATTAAGATGTTTATATGTTTAAGACAGAAAAATACCAAGTTTGTATGGTTATGATAGAAAAAGCTCTTGTCTGTACAAAGTGTTAACTGGAAACCACCAAGAATAGTCAGTGAAGCCCCTAAAAAGAAACAGGGATAGAACTATTAAGTTGTGCTTTCTAAGATAACTTATAGGAATCACAATTAATTTTCCTCAAGTATCTCATTGTGTTAATGCTTAAGAACCACATGTTGATTTCTTATTGTGCAGCGTACACTAAATCGTATAAGACACCTGTCATACATTTGTGTTTTATAATTATGTATTGCACATGTTACTGTCCCCCCTTTTGACTACATGATTAGTAGAATGTTCAGTGCCATGGAAGTGTGCTGTAAGAAAACCTTTACTGGCTCCCTGCTCTATATGCGGGAGCAAGACAAAATTATAAGAAGTTCTAAGCCTTGTTCAGTTGAGGTGGTCACCCAGGATATATGATCTGTGCCCTGACCATACCAATGAACTAAATAAGGGGCTAGCCCCAAAAAAGATAATTCTGTACAATAATTGTTGAAAATGAGCAAACTTTAGCAAAAGCTGGGTACGATTTCCAATGAATTACTTTGAAGAATCAGAAATACAGTGATTATGATGTAATTGACAAACATTCAAAATATTAATTGAATATCTTTACCTATCCTTGTACAAACATAAGGATATTGTTTCTAACAGAAATTACTAGCATTATCCTCTGGTATCAGGGTATGAATGCAAAAATCTGCGAACAGCAACTGAAATTAGTTTTGAATCATTGCTAAAGATCAATCCCTTCCTCTGATGATTTTTAAAATCTAAAATCTACCAATAGGGTATGTCCTTGCACCACTGCAAGCTACACAAGTCTTAAAAAGTTCTGGGCAATACCAAAAATAATGGAAAAGGCACAGGTTGGGGATATCAAAATGTCACATCTTACTTGGAGAGAGAGTGGCGAGAGAAGACATATGTAACATTGGTTATTTTTCCATTATCATCTTCAACAATGCCACAAGGAGTCAGTAGTAACTCCCCATCTGGAGAAAAACTGAGTCGACGGCAGAAGGATTTCAGTGTGTCATCGTAGAATAATCTGGTAGGCTGTGGATAAAAGTAGTTTATTATTAATATTGAATTGCACCTAATTTAATAAGAAACAATACACTGATGGATAACAACTAGACATACTTCATAACCTGCACAATAAAATTACAACATACTGGAGTGAGAAATATGGTAAGAAGTGTAAAATCCAATAAAAAGTTGGGGTGGCTACTAAGTTGTATTTTCCATGAAAGTGACCAATCAGTTTAACCCCTTAACTGCGCCGGCCAACAAATGTCGTTTTGAGAGTTGACCATTTTTATTTTTAATTAGGCTATATTTTAATGTTTTTAATGTTTTCATTACTTTGTGTTTTGAAATGGAAATAGTTTAGTTCGGAAACATTTTGAATTTAACTTTACCTGAACATTTATGAAAACAATTAAAATATGTCCATAACAATTGCACTTTGAAGTTTTTGCCAAAAACAAGTGCGCAGTGCAGGGGTTAAAATACAATACAGTAAATTAGTAGCAATTAAAGCACAGTGATATCAATGTTATTTGAGCATCAGCCTCAAGAGCTTAGCTGGATTTCTTGGGTTCATATACTTCTGGATAGGCAAAACATTTACATTTTTTATGCAGTGGCAAATTGAGAGAATGGGGTAACCAGAGACGCCTAAGGTACACCAGTGTGAGCACCAATGATACACACTGAACATTATTGGCACTTCATCATTGTCATCTGAACCACAACCTTTATCTCAATCATATAAGTCTATCCTAATTTCAAATCATACAGCTACCAACTTCTATTTTTAATGAGACCACTAACCTTACCTTTTCTGTTACATTGTCTTCAGCATCAACCATAGGTAAAGTCGTTTTGTGTATTCTGTGTACTATTTTCTTGGTGTTAACATTATATACTCTACAATACCTGAAAGAAAACAGAAACTGTTAAAATACTTCACACAAAATATGAAAAAAAAAGTCAAGTCAAGTGACCCAATTAGTATGTTCAGCACTATTATGAAATGGTGCTGAAAAACCTGCCAGGTTAGAAAAAGTGCAGTGCTCTCTTAGAACTGGGATTAACAAAATTTGTCCGAATAATGAACCTTAACATTAGGTCCTGTACCATGTAAATACAGTCCCATGGGGCACTGTGCTATTAGGATATAACATAAATTAGGATGACATAACTCGTCTTGCACAAGCAGGGCAACAATAACTATTTCATCCCATATCCAAGTACCATACACCACTGGAGCCTTTATCTAAATAGCTGCATCCTGAAGACCCATATTCAACATATCTTTTGTTACCATTCCATGGTTCCGAGAAACAACGACTCAGACTTGCCTTTGACCAGGTTAGCATTTGTTATTCAGATAATTATTAAACTGTCCCAAAGTGCTGTGCATTTGCTGTATGGTTTACATATTACACATTCACTATACAGAATATGGTAAGACAAGTTACCCCAGTCACACATTCTACTTGTCATTTTAAATTTAGCAAAATTTGTTAATAATTTATAAAATAAAAAACATTATTTACAAATAGTTAAATCAACTTACCTATCTGAACATAGAGTCGCAACGTACTGTCCTTGTGGGTCCCATGCAACACCTTGGACAAAGCCTTTGTGGTCACTTAATATTCCAATATTTTTACCTGAAATACACAAATAAAAATTTTAATTTTACATATAAAATAGTCATGATAAATGTGCATATTCCCAGTTCACTGAAGAAGCAATTGGAAACGAAAGTTTAAAAGAAGTTTTGATGTGTAAGGCTTGTGTAAGACAAAGCTGAAAAAAAGTGAGAATGAAGTCTATATTTTAAGAGAAGGAATAAGAAAATAAAAGGAGAAAAGAAGGAATGTCTGTTAATGAATATAATAGTAGCATGGAGCAATTGAGGCCAAGTGTGAAATTCAAATCTGAAACATCAATTTGACAATTGCTACAGTATATGTAGCAATTGAAAAGTGTAGCAAATGTGTGAAGACAGTACCAAGAATGAAACCTATTTTGATGGCAGTTTAGACAAATAGATTAAAATATTAACAAATTACAGAATAATTGTGATGGGTGATATTAATGGCGGAGGAGAAAGTTCTAAGAATGACACGATTAGTATAAATGGTTTCCAAAATAGTAAATAACAACATCTGTAAATTGAGATTCATGCAGTGAAAGTTATGTACTACTAATACATATACACTCCATGGAGGTTATGAAATGAGAGCAACGTTTCTGAACTCAAGACAGCACTTTGCAGTCTTGTCTGTCTCTGTCTCTATCTATCCCCATCTCTCTCTTTGTCACAAGTGGAGAAGGTAAAACAGTACTGTATATACTAACAAATACTGGCTGTCATTCTGAATACTGTATCTTTAACCCGACTTTTTGCTTTAAATATCGTAAATATTCTTTCTAGGTAAATGTTATCCATTCCTTGAAAGTGGAAAAAAAAAAAGAATGGAAATGCCCTAGAAATGATAAATTGACAATAAAACTGTTGATGTTACCTTTTGCAACATGCCAAATAATAGCAGTGTTGTCTACAGATCCAGTAATAAGGAACTGTGAGCATTGTGACCAGCAGATGTCATAAACATCTTCTAAGTGACCTCTAAGCATTTTCACAACTGTCCAGTGTTCTTTATTCTCCTTTTCTACATCATCCACAAATATATCAGCATTGCTTGATGAATCTTGCTTCTTCCACAGGATGACAGCCGATTCTGTAATTGAAAAGAACTATGTTTTGATGTAGTTGTTTAAGGGAGGTGTTCCATTACCACTTGCCAGGAATCTTCTCTCAATACAATGCTGTTTACATTCACAAATCTGGATCATGTAGAATCATACAAATATCCAAATTAGCCAAGTCTGTACGTATACTGTACTGTAATAAACTTTTAATCTTAAAAAATAAATAATTTGTAATTATAATAGTAGAAATGTCTACTTACCTTGGTGGAGTTAACAGCAGTCTTGATCACTGAAGAACTTTAATTGTGAACATTAACCTAATACTAATATTACTGAATGAACAAGTACTTGGCAATTATGCCTGCTGCTTCCTTCCACCAAAACCAAGTTACGTAAACAGTCGGCCCATTGCTACACGATACATGCAATTTTGGCTATTTTGCAGCAACACTTGTATTCTAAATATATTACCTTCTCTTCATATCTAAAACTAAAGGAACATGCCCAAAATTTTAAAATGTTTCTGTATACAATACATATAAAGTCTCAGCATGTTTTTTTTTCTAATTTGCAGACGATTCTACTTAATATGTAAAATATATATGAAAGGTTTAAAAACTCTTGGAAAGCAGGAGTAATACTGATGGTATTTTGTCTCTGTGCAACATCCTTACCATCATCAGCTGAGGCCAAAATCTCTCCATCAGGTGAAAATCTTACAGCATTAACTGCACGATTATGTCTTGTAAGGTCACTCAGTGCGTCTACACTAACTCCCCCATTGTCCAACAGTTGCAATTGCCATATCTAAAATTTAAGCATATGAAATTAGTGCCAATCACTAGTTATCTATAGCAGCCCAACATATAAACGGGCCTACTTGTTGAAAGATTGTACAATGCTACCTTAAACATTCATACTAGTATGGACCCCTTTCTGATTTGTTGTTTTCCTGGATATCACACAAAAACATTTTTAGTGTAAATCATACTAAACATACTTCTACAAATTTAGTCACACATGAAACACTATATACAGTCATTATATAAAGCAAGGTTATTAAAAACAATCTATTTTGTGAGCCACTGAGCATTTCCATCTAATTTCATCACATTTTTTTTTAATTATTTAGTTGATATTATACATAAAAACAGCAACAATACAGTATTAATTTTAAGCCATATAATAAGTGATAGATTAGGCCCCATAAAGGAAGGTAATTATGAGAGGAAAGCACCAAGCCATTATGCCTATATGGCACTTGGAAGGGATAAAGATTTAGGATAGAACGAAGGAAAGGAATGGTGCATAACCAATTGAATGGTTATGCTTGAATTCAATCAAGTTTGTTAAGAACAGTTGGTGTCAGTGATATGCAATGATAAAACTTTTTATAATTGCTTTCAAAGCAATTTCTCCCTATGAACAAGCAACCACAACTAGCAGACAACAAATTTCCACTTACAATCTGATTTCAAGTTATATCCTCAACATAATACTAATCACAAGTAATTCCATAGTGTCACTCATAACTATGTGTGAATCACAAGCACAGTTAACTGAAAATTGGGAGCCTATGCACAGTTTCTGATATGGTGATGACCAGTTGTAGCACTTTATCAATGCTATAATTAATTATAGCTTTATTAATGCTTCTTTCCTGTTGGTAGCTGGATGATGATGATGTTGACACAAAATGGCAGAATGTGTAAAAAGCAAGCATTTTTTTTATGTCATGGGTCACAGGCCTGGAAAGTCTCCCTGACCATGGAAACTGCTAGTTTCATGGCATATTATAATATTTTATGCTACTGAGGAACCAGCTCCTGAGAGCTGTCATCTAGAACATGTGAGGGTACAAGAACTGTTTATGGGAATCTGGCTCCTTTGCTTCACTTTGCTCACCTGACTCCACTACTGCTGTCTCAACTCTGCTACACTGAAACACGCGTGTTTCAGTGTTAGTGTGTGCAGTTCAGTCAGTCCTCATACAGTGTAAACAAACTTTCGACGCCTAAACGAACATGGACACATTGGGTGCTCAAATTAGGAATGACTGCATTCCTACACAAAAGTTTGTATGTGCACTAGAAATATTGACAATAATTTGCACACAATTTTTGTATGCCAAGTTTAATCATTATGAGATTAACTTGTACATTAATTGCTGTAATAGCAATTAAACCTGATTGTTCAGGTATATATCATCTTGAGGTTATCGAGTTGATTTTTGGGCTTAGCGCCCCCACGGCCTGGTCCTCGACCAGGCCTCCTTTTTGTTACACACCCCCAGGAAGCAGCCCGTAGCAGCTGTCTAACTCCCAGTATAAGGGAGTTGGATCTCCCTAACTATTTACTGCTAGGTGAACAGGTGCATCAGGGTGAAAGAAACTTTGCCCATTTGTTTCCGCTTCCACCGGGGATCGAACCCGGAACCTCAGGACTACGAATCCGAAGCGCTGTCCACTCAGCTGTCATGCTAGGTAGGCGAGACTCGATAAGGTGCTGCAACGACACTTTTGCCACATCATACCTGAATGAATTGTAGCTCAAACCTGTTAAGTACAACATTTAAAGGATACTGTGTACCAATCTTGATATATCCTTTGACATAATCATATTTTTCTGTTATTATTCTTCAGTCTTTTATAGAACAGAAAAGCCACCCTTCCATATTTGCCTTTGTTCCTTTTACAGAAATATAAACACATTTCTACTTTTTAGCTCTAGCTAGTCTCTCCATCTTACTTCATATTACAGTATTTAATTATGCTCCCATTCCATTTTACTCAACATTTCAAGCGTTACTAGCACTGTTTCATAGGAAAGTGTGTGTAATGTAAACTACATAAAATAATGCAATAAATATGGCCAGCCTAAATTATTGTACTATACACTTAACCAGTTTTGTTCAATAATAGAGCATATGACATACTGTACAAGTTTGGGAATATTTTAAATATTAAAGCAGCGAGCATAGTTGTGAAAACACATACCACAACATGTGTATCAGTTCCAGCTGTGGCCAAACGGTAGATTCCATCTTGGGAGTTGGGCTGTATATCTATGGACAATACCGGATCTCTATTATGCCATGAGATTTCTGGAATGGTACACTTCATGGTTATTTTCTGGAAAAAAATAAAAAATAAATCAGTAATTGTGTGTACATGTCTTATATCAGAGTACTTGTAGCTTAATATGCTAAGTTTTTATTGAATTAAAAGTTCATTATGATTTTATTTATTTTAAAACCTTTAGATCTTTTCTATTCTTGGAACCCTTAGTGTCTTTCCCAAGCTAAAGGCATTGATTTCAAAAGGCCAAATAATAATAATTAATAAAAATTAATAATAATAATAATTAATAATAATAATGATGATAATAATTATTATTATTTTTAAGGATTTTAATAGCTTTACTGCTATTAGTATAATTTTTACACTTTAATGATTTAATGACAGCAACATTGTCACCAACACTTTAAATTGGCCTGGCTTTGGTTTAGGTTCCCTTCCTTAACCTTAGTTTGTGATTCCCAAATCCACACCCAGAGTGTTTGGGTTCTTCCTCTGAGGAGTTCACTTTTGAGTTCCTCCTGTTCTAGGTAGTGTATGGGAATTAGTCACCTACTGGTAGCGAGACCTGCCGAGTCGAACTGTAGTTACTGTACCGTACAGTATACTAGTTTAATTATTTATGCTTGACTCAACCCATGTTAGCATTAGTGTTTTGTATCTTATCAGGTATGGCTGTAAGTAGCATTACATAATTTTGTATTTTTATGCATGTTTCAATGGCTTATTGCCTATCACTGGTGTGATTAATGTTTTTTTTAGCTGTGTTAACTTTTGGAATAATCAAACAAATCTTTGACTTTAAAGGAAAATTGCCAATTTATAGCTAAACAAATCCCTGATGCATCCCCAATGTGGACTACTGTATCCATGTACAGAGACCTCAGATAAAAGTTTTTTCACCCATAGGGCAATAAACTCTTAAAATCACCTACTTGCCTAAGCTGTATATACTATGCAGTACTTTAAATTTCAAAATTCAGTTAGAAAAATGATCAAGAATAATGTGGAGACCTTTGACAAGCTGCTGGCTTCATGTCCTAGTCGAGCCCTCTAAAGATAGTGGCTCCTGTAAGTTCCATAAACTTAAGTATGACAAATCTGTTTGTATTACTGATAATAATATTTTATTTAAGCAAGAGAACATACATAAATACGGTACTTTTTCACCCATAGTCATAAACATGGAACTGCCTACCCACTGAAGTCACATATGCCAAAACACAGCTGAATTTTAAAATACAGCTCGACAAAATCATGAGGACAAATGCGGGACCTTCAACAAGCTGTCAACTTTCTGTCCTCGCCGAGGTCACTATAGAGATAGTGGCCCTCAGGCAAATTCAGGTAAAAAGATATACATGATCAGTGGAAGATTAATAGACAAGACAGGCACAATACCTTGTGTCACTAATACACAGAGCATTTCAGGCATAACATAAACAAAAATTAAAACAAAATACTGTACAAGCTTAATGGGGTGATACTTAAAACTGAAATTCAGATATATATATTTGACCTCTAGAGAAAACCTTCCTGACCTATATTGGGATATGTTATATATAGGTCAAGAGGCCGCTGTGCTAGTTGTTCTGGGACTAAGGGTTCCCTAATGCAAGCCAACATAAGTGTTTGTTTGCAACAACTTGCATGACCTTCTGAGCTGTGGGCTTTGTACCCTCTCAACCTGCTCAACTACTTCATTATCTCACGCTACACTTGAAAAAAATTATTAGATTTAATGAATCGTATTGCTAAGCTAAACATGAAATACTGTACGCCACACCTGGCCCAGTATGATACCCATGAAAGTATAGTTCAGTAAATACAAAACAAAATCACTCGCAAGTTACAATTAGAACATAACTACCCATTTAGACCTGTCAAATAACACAACAATATAAATAATCACATTAATAACATGACGACAACTTACAACTTGCTAACTTGGACAAGCTATATATGATGAACTAATAATACAAGCGAGAGCTGCACTTGTCACCTGAAATATAGAGGTGAGCTTTGTTTTCGTACTGGAGGATGTTCCCGCGCGGCGGCCACTGTTATCCTCCTCCCACCCGCCGGGCTCCTGGTTCTCTTCCACACTACTCTATCATTTATTTCAAACACTTACAACAAACTAACAGTAAGTGTCGGTAAGCTTCAATAAGTAAGGTTACAGTAAGTTTCATAGATTTTTTTGTAAAGCCACTAACACGCATAGCGCTTTGGGCTTCGTATCAACTCTTTGTCCAGCTGTGTCCAGTAATAATAATAATAATAATTGATTTCTTAATTTACCTGAGAGCCACAATCTCTCTAGTGGCCTCGACGAGGACAGGAAGCCGGCGGCCTGCCAAAGTTCCCCTCTTCCCCTTTATCCTGATGATTTTATCGAGTTGCTTTATAAAATTCAGCACTGTTTTGTCATTCATTACTATGGCGAGTAGGCAGTATCCTTGGGTTTAAATAACCCTGTGGGTGAAAAAAGTATCTCCTCTCTTCTGTTCTGCACTGTTACTTGTAGAGCTTGAAACTTGTTTGTGTTACATCTGAAATTGTGCTTCTGTTCAAACATCTGACACCCATCTCTCAGATAACTTTACCATAACATCAGCTCAAAAATACCAGTCAAGTTAATTAACCATTTAATTGACACACTATGACACTACTTAAATACTACAAGTGCTCTTTCCTTGCTTTCACTGATGCAAATTGGTCTATGATATGGTCAAAGTCAGCTTTTTTGGTTCTTCTCTTTCTATACATAGCAGTCGAGCAAGATCACAGTCTGCCTTGACCCTTGGAGGCTCCAAAATAAGAAAGTGTTTAGTTTAACTTTATTTATATATACAAGAATTTTACATTCTTGTAAAACCACTAGCACGCATGGCGTTTCTGGCAGGTCCTTAATCCTAATTTTCCCCGAATACGACTCGCCAAATCGTTTGACAACCAGGTACCCATTCACTGCATATTTTTGGATTGCCAGAAAGCCTTTGACATAGTAACACATTAGACACTAGTGCACAAGTTGAGATGCAGGTAGGAGTGAAAGGGAAGGTACTCCACTGGATAAGGGAGTAACTCAGCAACAGAAGGCAGCGAGTCACTGTGAGGGGTGAGGTCTTGGAGGGGCAAGGCGTCACCAGTGGAGTCCCACAGGGATCAGTTGTTGGATCTATACTGTTTCTGATATATGTAAATGATCTCCCACGGGGAATAGTTTCGTTCCTCTCAATGTTTGTTAATGATTCAAAAATTATGAGGAGGACAGAGGAGGATAGTATGAGGCTACAAGATAACCGAGACAAGCTGAAGGAATGGTCCAACAAATGACTACTAAAGTTCAATCCAAATAAATGTAAGGTAATGAAACTAGGTGGAAGAAACGTGACGTGAGTGTGGCCACAGGGATGCGCGGTGTATGGAGTGTGGCCCAAGGCGTGAGTGTGGCCACAGCAGCTAGGGGAGCGCGCGGCCAGGCGCCACAGTTCAGGGGTTCACAGCTACATAGACTCGTGCGTTCCGCAGCTTCTCTCACTTCCATGCCGCCCAAGAGGAAACAGGTAGGCCTAAGATGCATACTACAAGGAGAACAGCTTGGTAGGTCTAAGTCATGGGTAAGCTTTGAGACGGACACTCCACAGGAAACTGGTAAGCTTGAGATGTACACTCAAAAGGAAACTGGTAAGCTTCGAGATGTACACTCAAAAGGAAACGGGTAAGCTTTGAGACGTTCACTTCAAGAGGAAATGGGTAAGCTTTGAGACGTTCACTTCAAGAGGAAACGGGTAAGCTTTGAGACGTTCACTTCAAGAGGAAATGGGTAAGCTTTGAGACGTTCACTTCAAGAGGAAACGGGTAAGCTTTGAGACGTTCACTTCAAGAGGAAATGGGTAAGCTTTGAGACGTTCACTTCAAGAGGAAACGGGTAAGCTTTGAGACGTTCACTTCAAGAGGAAACGGGTAAGCTTTGAGACGTTCACTTCAAGAGGAAACGGGTAAGCTTTGAGACGTTCACTTCAAGAGGAAACGGGTAAGCTTTGAGACGTTCACTCAAAAGGAAACGGGTAAGCTTTGAGACGTTCACTTCATGAGGAAACGGGTAAGCTTTGAGACGTACACTCCAAAAGGAAATGGGTAAGCTTAAGACGTTCACTTCATGAGGAAACGGGTAAGCTTTGAGACGTACACTCCAAGAGGAAATGGGTAAGCTTGAGACATACACTTCACGATAGGTAGGGTTTAGTTGGTTTGAGTTAGGTTGGTTTGGATTGCCCTATGTTGGGTTTGGTTAGTTTGGATTAGGGTAGGCTTGGTAGGTAGATTTTAAAATCAATTGGTGATCTGCCAGGAGGACAGAGTGACAAGCATCAAGAAATTGAAATACAGTATATGAATTTTTTCCATCTTATCGAAGATGTCTTTCTTGATCATCTACTGACCTTCCCCAGAATACAACCCACAAACCATGAACCATGGTCATTCTGGTCCAGCAGAATGACCATGGCAAAGGCAACACTTTACTATAAGGGCAATCGGGTAGAGTAAGTCATGCTGAAATCCAAGATTGGAAAATGGTCCCCAATTTATAGATTATTTTCCCCTCCATAAAATATACAATGGTTTAGTCTAACTAAAAGGTCAAACCATAGGTTACTCGCCTAACCTACTGCAGCAGATGCTCGGTAGTCCCAGGAAGCATCAATATTGCTGTATTTTAATTTCCCTATTCCACAGCAATATTTATGCTGGGGTGATTGCATGGCTTACCTTGTCATTTTGCAAGGTACAGTAGATCCACAAGTTGTACAAGTTATTAAAGACCAGTTCTCGTGAGCCATGGTAATACAGTTCGGTACTGAATTTGACAATTTAATTTAATTATAATAGGTTTTGTCTGGGACAGGAAGCTTGTGCATATATGTACTTTAGATTTGTAACAAGAACCTCCAAGGTTGAATTACTGTAACAGTACTTCCCTAGGATGCAACCTCACGATGTAACCCCCCAACTGTTGCCTAACTCCCGGATACCTATTTACTGCTATGTGAACATACATTAGGTGAAAGGAAATACTGTACGGCAAACCATTTTTGTCCCCACCCACGAATCGAACCTGGGATCCCTGATTTTGAGTCGAGAATGAAGTTATCATAATTTTGAACTTACTGTAGACTCTGAACTTGCACAGTGGCTCCTTCCTTTATCTGTTTGTAATCATAAAACATGTAGCTGCATTATATCATATGTTAGGGTCAGTATTTATTTATTTATTTATTTATTTATATATACAAGAGTTCTTACATTCTTGTACAGCCACTAGCACGCATAGCGTTTCAGCAGGTCCTTAATCCTAATATTCCTCATTGCCAGAATACTCCTGGGATATAGACATATCTGGCAGCTCTCTCAAACCACAAATGTCGAGTACACAATGTGTCAACTTTGTGAAAGAGAAAACATGCACTCACTTGAACATTATATTGTAGAATGGCCCATATTGACTGACTTTCACCCTCCTGGGCTAAGGTATGCTGAACTCTGTAACTACTATATGAGTACTGAACACTTGATATATTGGACTTGTACCCTAGATTGACCATGTAATGTATCAATTATACAATATATAACCTGAGCTTGTAAAAGCATCTTAATTAATCACCTTCACTGGTTAAGTTCTTAATTGCACACTAGGTTTCTCTATCAGCTATCTCACCCTGTCAGAGTAAAAGAGACAAGTGTATGTGTGTGTATATATATTTATGTATGTATATGTGTGTGTATGTATGTATATAAAGTATATGTGGAAGCTGATCAGAATTACATTTCACCTTTGTAAATGCACATTAATGACACTATGTAAAAGACACATCAAACACTTTATGTAGCATACATAAATCTGTGTATCTATGTATTTACGTATGTAGCTTAGCCTAACATTTTAAAAGCACTACAATCACCTTCTGTGCTTGATTGTTCAATAAATCCTTGATCTGTATGTTTGACAAATCTCACACCCTGTCCATGGAGAACAGAAGAAAATGTATATATACTGGTTAGCATTGTAAATGTGTGACCACGTCTCTGGTAGAAAATAATAATTAAAAAAAAAAATCCTCGGAATATGGCCCGCCAAATTGTTTAACAACCAGGTATCCATTTTACTGTTGGATAAACAGAGGCTACAATTAAGGATTGGCACCCAGTAAATCCTCCCCGGCCAGGATACAAACCCAGGACAAAGCGCTTGTTAAACACCAGGTGAGTGTCTTACCACTACACCATAGCGACTGCAGATAAGCTCGAGAAGTACACTCCAAGAGGAATTGGGTAAGCTTGAGATAGGTAAGCTACTTTGATAAGTAGAACGAGAATATTTTTTAAATATTTTAATGATGCCTAATTTCTCTTTCAGGAAAGTGTTGAGGATGGAGAAGAGAAGAAAGGCACCAAAATAGTAAAGAAGGAAGATTTTTCATCAGATGCAAAAACAGAAGAGGGCGAGAAATGGAATCTGAAGGTGGTCTCTTGGAATGTTGATGGCATTCGTGCTTGGCTAAAGGTATCTTATTACAATTTGTGGTTGTGTAAGAATTGCATTTGCAAGAGTTTTCTGGGCAAGGCTTCCGTGGCCTTGGTCCACCCAGGCCATTTTTTGAGCCATGGCCTGGGTCCACCCAGGATTACACATTTCTTTTGATAATATATTCACTGCAATGACAAGGAACATTTTAAATTTTCTTGTCACTTAGCTGGGGAAGAAAAAGATACTGGGGGGGGGGGGGAGTTTCCAGGGCCATTGCACCCTGTGTCTCTTTGAGGGGGCCAGGTTCTGGCTTGTGGTCCCTGGTAGGCTGAACTCCTATGTCTACTCCAGGGAGCCTCTGGGGCTCGCCCAGAAACTGGCGTTTCATTACATTTAACGTTTTTTTTTTTTTTTTTGTAACTGGATCATTGTACATATATTGATGTAAAAGGCAGTTAGACAGTAGAATTTGGTACTATTCACTTTATAGAGTGAATTAAAATAAAGCTAAAAAACAAACTTAAATATTCCTAAACCTAGTTATAGCACACATAAGTACTGTACTACAGTATATTTGTTCTCAGCGTGTATAAGGGCCTAGGAAGGTTAGGTTTACTTTGCAACATCAGTACAAAAACTTTTTCAATAGTACTGAATTCTACTTTCTAATTGCTTTTTATGTCAATATGCAGTATGTACAATGGTGCACATCATTACTATAACTACTATCTAAACAGGAGAATGGGCTGGAGAAATGCCAGGCAGAGAGAACCTGGGCTAATGCCCTTCATTGCCTGCGATACAAAAATATCCAATTACAGTATAATTGTATTGTTACCATTGTTTTAAATTGGTTCTGCATATACAGTACCTTTATTTCGTAGTTAATATAAATTTGCCTTGATTTTCAGAAAGATGGAATGTCAGTGTTTGAACTTGAGAAACCCGACATTGTGTGCCTTCAGGAGACCAAGTGTGCCGAGGCCAAACTACCAGATGAAGTCAAGAATATCAAGGGTTACAAGAGCTACTTCATGTCTTGTATGTTTCACTTTTTTAATATTTTTTTATATTCTTTACCTCACTAAAATTCAATATTAAGCTATACAAAATTATTTCATATTTGTAAACTTTTACTCTAGAACTGGAGGTAGAAGAGCTAGACTTGCAGACATCCTCTTGAAAAATTAGGGATATAAAACCTTGTTGTTAAATTTATGCGTAGAAGGTGCGATATTGTTTCATAAAACATCTTGAACATACCTAAACAAAGTACTGTACAGTAATACTGTATATAATTGTATGTTTTTGGCTAAAATCTCAATACCTTATCCAAAACCAGTAATACAGGCAGTCCTTTACTAATAAATGAGGTGCATACTGAGAAGGCATTTGTAAGTCTGTTGTTTGTAACGTGGAACAAGATTTCCCATAGGTGAAATGCTATAAATGGGAAATAAATGCAATGCTAAATACAGTACATGTATTTTGTGTTCTTAAACAACCAAAATCAACCTATGAAACCAATTTTTTTTTACAAAAAAACATTTCTTATTTACCTTGAATGATGGTATTGCTCTGCTTGTCTGTTTTTCTTTTCTTTGAAGAGTGGAGAAGTACACTTACTAGAAGAGGTGGTGGTAAAAGGTGGTGATGAATGGGCATTGATGCACAACCATCATGCTTTCTCATCTTATCAGCCATTATTGTGCAACTTGTAAAACATGTAATAGTGAAAAAAGGGCCATCTAATACATATAAATTTGTTTATTACAGACTTAAAAAGATATATTTATACTGTAATTTAATAATTGATTGTGTCAGGGGACAGAAAGCCAGAATGTATTCATACTCATTAGGCTTTTAACAAGGTCCATCCCCCCCCCCCCACCCCCACCTTCTCAAGGTCAAATTACTGACCCTGCCCAGGATGCAACCCCACAATAAGCTGACTAACTTCTGGGATCCTACTTACTGCCAAATAAAAAGGAGCATTAGGTGAAAGGAAATGTGCCCAACCATTTCTATCCTGCCCGGGATTTGAACCTGGAATTCTTGATGTGCGTCGAGAACGAACCTAACTGTACTACTCTTCGGTAAGGGTATATGAAAGCTAAATACCCATGATAATACCCATGATAAGAGTACAGTTATTAAAATTAAGAGTGCTCAAAACATTTTATATTCTTATCTATTTCAGCTAAAACAGAAGGGTATTCAGGTGTGGCACTCTTTTCCAAGATCGAGCCACTTAAAGTGACTTACGGCTTCAGTGACAAGACACATGATGATGAGGGACGCTGTATTACTGCAGAATATGACAAATTTTATTTAGTCACTACTTGTAAGTGTGTTAGAATTTCTTTATTGAATGGGGCACAACTGTTTGCTTTAGGAAATAATTGTCAATAATAAAAATTGGTTACTTATTAATTAAGCATGTTTTGCCCACTAGGAGAGGATGGGAAGGATAAAGGGAGAGTGAATGGGAGGAGGAGGGGGTGGGGGGTGCTTTAATGCAGCAAGTGCTCTTCACCAACTTTGACCCTGTTGGGTTGGTGCTTTCTGTGAAACACACTTGCAGTTCATGTTAATTTCATTGTCTTCATTGAGATACATAACTGTCCTTCCTACTTTTATTCTGCCCTGTATGAAAAGTATTTTATTATGAGTGTCTTTAGGAACTATATTGTATTTCTTAATATCTGTTGCCTTTTCCTGATCTGTTCTAGGAAGCCATTAACAAAGTAATATCCAGTTTTTCATTTGTCCAAATCAGAAGTTACTAACCTGCACTGAAATCTGAAGTTTTTGCTTTACGCTAAGTAATTATTATAATGTTTCTTGTTTCATCAGATGTTCCAAATGCAGGAAGAAAGCTTGTCACACTGGACAAAAGGTTGGACTGGAACACAAAATTTCACAAGTACCTACAAGACCTTGATGCAAAGAAGCCAGTCATCATGTGTGGCGACCTCAACGTGTCGCACAAGGAAATTGGTGAGTAGATACAGTCTTTTAATTACTCACAATTGCAAGATAAATTGTTAAGAAATTCTTAAGAGACTGAATTCAAGTTCATAGCAATATAGATTTATAATAATAATAATGATAATATTAACATGTATCTTTAATCATTAGGTAATGGAGGAAATTGCTTCAGTAAAATTCATACAAAATTTGTAATTTAAAAGCTTTCAGTGAATGATTTATCATTACATGAAAGAAATGTTTTGGTACATTGGATAAATTGAATGGTTAAATTTACTGATTAATATAAAACTTTTGCTAAACAGATTGATTTTTGTTTAGGTGTATCTTCCTCTTACTTTACATATAGATTTAGGTGGATCAAGTCACCTTTATTTTAGAATGAGTAAAGCAATCTTCAGATGTGTAAAATAAAAAAAATGCCTTGGTTTTTGTTTTATATTAAAGTGGAGTGCATTATAATATCACTGTACAGATTATGGAATCTATTGTGCTTTACATGTTATAATTAAAATTAAATTATGCTGATTTCTTTGCCTATATTATAATATATTATAATAGTTTTGTTTTGTTATAGATTTGGCAAATCCAAAGGGGAACAAGAAGAATGCTGGATTCACCAAGGAAGAAAGAGAGGGATTCACAGATCTTTTAGAAATGGGTTTTGTGGACTCATTCAGACATTTATACCCTGATGCAACTTCAAAATACACATTTTGGACCTACATGTTTAACTGCAGGGCCAAAAATGTTGGATGGTGAGTGACTAGTCTGAATTTATTAGTATTTACTACTCGTATCTGCAGAACCGAGCAATTATCTCTTGGACTCTCCTTTCTAACCAATTTTTTTTTCTCTATCATGTTTACTACATATATTTCACACGCACGCACACACACACACATTCCTAGGAATCAGCTCGTAGCAGCAGTCTAACTCCCAGGTACTGTACCTGTTTTACTGCTAGGTGAACAGGTACACCAGGAAGTAAGAAACTCTGCCCATTTGTTTCTGTCTCTGCCGGGGATCGAACCAGAGTATGAGCACTATGATCCCACAGCACTATCCACTCAGCCGCAAGGCCCCAGTGATTTCATTACCGTGATAGAGGGTTGTTTTATCAGTGGTGCGCACATCAATCAGGGTTGATTTTAGGGCTAGCAGAAGATTTAAAACTCCCACAAGTACATGGGACCCACATCTGCTTCCTCAAGTCTCCTGTAAACAGGCATCATCTTTGAAAAAATCACAGGTGAGTTTGAATCACATTACAAGTTTTTTCATCTTTGAAAAATACCTGCGAGTTAGGGCCTCAGTACTAAGACAGAAACCTTGTGTAGGGCATGCAGCAGCAGTTCATGCCCACACCATCACTTAATGACAATTTAAATATGTAACTGCAAGTATTTATTAATTATAGTGACATAAAAGACCCTGACAGTGATAAAGATTATGTACAAGGTTCAGTTATTATTAAATCCGATGCTGGTGACAATGTCCCCAAAGTGAGGTAGATAGCCATATCACACAGCCGGGGTTTGGTGCCTTTACGCATGTGGAATGGGACCTCACATTTCTTTAGAAAATGAATGTAATAAGATTAAAAATATAACTAAAAAAATTAATGTGTGTATTGTACTTACACAACTTAGTGCAAAATGTGTAGGGCTAAGCTGACCTTGGATTAATGGTGATGAGATTAATACACCCAGAAAAGCTGCTTAGTGGTTCATAACAGTGCATAAACATGTAGATACTGTAGTTATATATAACGTGTGTATACAGTGTGATAATAGCAAAAACATTGTTTTATAGTCCAAAGAATATAATATTGTGGGTATATTAGTAATATCAATGGTTTGCATGAGTTGCTATAAAAATTTATCGCATTACTCACTATTTCTTAGTATAACTGGCAAAAACCAGTGAAAAGCAAGTCAGTGACTGAAATAAATTAGTATAAATGTATCGTGGCAACTCCAACTGCCCGTCTGGCCTGAGTGGCCTCCACAAGACATCTCGTCCATGAATGCTCATGAATCAGTGACATCATCTCAAGATGTCCTCTCTCACCACTGCTAAAGTAAGCTACATACAATTTTTGTACTTTTCCATAATTGGAGAATGCATTTTAACAATATTAGAAATAAAAATAAGAAAAATTTTTTGTCACATGAAACAGGTTTGCAATGCAAGGATTAATGCAAAATCTCAAGGTACTGCATTTTATGTAAATGGGAGCTGTTCTCTCTTATTTAAATGAAAATAAAAGTGCTCTTTATGCATTCATTCATATAAAAATTTATTTTTATTTTCATTTAAATAAAAGAGAAAAGCTACCATTTACATATAATGCAGTACCTTGAGAGTTTGTATCAGTATCTTGCTTCATGCAGGAGGTTGGTCCCCGACCATCCAAGTGGTTGGCCACCATTCCTTTTTCCCCGTCCCATCACAAATCTTTATCCTGACCCCTTCCAAGTGCTAATATAGTTGTAATGGCTTGGCGCTTTCCCTTGATAATTCCCTCCCTCATATACAGTATTATCATTACCTCATTTTCCACATCAAGGATGATGCTGAATAGTCTTCCTGGCTTGATGCCATATTTTGATAATTACTAGTTTGATAATTACATAGTAAATACTAATGGAAACATTTGGGGAATAAATTCTTAATTTATTATGTCTTAATCCTAATTAAATTTGATTTTCAGGCGACTGGATTACTTTGTCCTCTCCAAACGCTTGGTCCCTCAGTTGTGTGACAGTCTCATCCGTGACTCACTTTATGGCTCAGATCACTGCCCTGTCACTCTGCTAATGCACATGTGATGAGCCTGTAAACAAACAATAACATTTGTGTTAGTTCATTTCCTTAAAAACAGCTGAAGTTGTGAAATGACAATAGAAAAAGTCATAAACTAATACAGTAATTGTCACCAGAGGTTGTCGTACCTGATGCGTTTGCATTGTTGATGTTGATCATTGTGTAAAAACTTCTGAAAGACATTTTGCAATTTTTTTTTGTCATTGCCAATGCAGAACTGTACAATTTTGCAGTATTATATGAATCAATAGAATATTGACTAGTGTCATTGATATATGTATTTACTGTAGTTTTATGTATATGAGCAGTGAAAATTCATTTTGTTTTGTGAAATGTGTAGAAAAGTAGCTGTACATACAGTACAATGTTTGGTTTATAAAAAACGTCATATGTAACAATGAGCACACATTAAGTTTAATACATTTCTTGATACAGTTTTTCATTTCTTTATTCATTTTGTTATTGAGTCTGTATATTATGGTGTATTGTGCTTCTTGCAGTCTTATTTTTTAAGTGCCATACACTTTAATTCACTCCTATTCTTTGATTGTTATTTGTAATCACACTTTAAGCAATTCTGTTTCTTCCATTTCTTTATTTGGATAAAATAGTTTTTCAACATGGCAATCCAATTATACTTTTAATAACTGTATTATCCACTCCATGATCTTATCTTCCAAAATACATTTTGTATTATTAATTGTGCAAGTACCGGTACACATCACATGTATAAATATGCCTCACATATGGCCTCTCATTATTTTTCATTTGTGAAGTGTTTTTAAATATTGCTTAGATCTCATTTGCAAATACAGTACATTTTATATTAATACTTAAATTGATTCATGGTATATGTTTTAACTTGAAACAGTGACTATTATGTCATTTACATATGCAGATATGAAGAACTTAAATGAAGATTGCTTAGTCTTAATAGGTAATAATAATAAAATGCCCTATAAGATTTTACAAAGGTTTGGTTGGGCATATCTCAGGATTTGTATGGGTGAGAATGCTCTGGAACACTTGAGATATGTTGCTCAGAGGCTCAAGAGCAGATTTTTGTATTGTTAACACTATCAATGTAATAAAAGTTGATATTGGACAATGTTTGCTGTCTTATTATCATTGTAAATTAATATTTTGCTGGTTGTGGTTGATGTTATTCTGTATACCTTCAAGAGGTTGGTCACAGAACTCCACATACCCTGTATTGGCTTGGTAATCATGCATGTGTCGTTTTGATGTATTGGCATCCTGAATGATATTTAGGAGATTTTCAGTATCCTGCACACTCATGGTGCTAAATAGTCTTCCCAGCTTGGTTCAGCCTTTCAATAATTACTTGGTAATCATACAAGTGATGTTCCTTCTACTACTAGTAGGTAGTAGAAGTACCTTCTACTTCTACCTTCTATGCAGCTACCAAGGACAGACTTCATTTTCCCTCCACAAATACAGTATGCCCAAATTTGATGTGCTGCACCAATGTTTACTACACACTTTTTTTTTAGTAAGTACTGTCATTGGCATTATATCAGTGCATAATGTATGATTGTTTATACATATAGTATATTTTGGTAGCAGTCATTTTTGTAAATATATGTTGTTGAATATGACCGAGAGGGTCAACAATCAGCACTGGTCAGAACAAGCCAAATATGTCCAAGCATAATGGGCTTGCCAAAAGTCTCCCAGTCCAACCATCCCTAATAGAGTATCCTCATTCATCTTTGCCAACATACAAGGACAAAAAACAAGAACAAACAACAAAGTACAGTTCATAAATGGCCTCCTCGCAGAGTCAAATGCAGTATTTGGAGCTTTCACAGAAGCCCATGCAGGGGAATTCTTGGACAGTGAGATCTTTTTTTTTTTTTTTTTTTTTTTTTTTTTTTTTTTTTTTTTTTTTTTTTTTTTTTTGAGATATATACAAGAGTTGTTACATTCTTGTACAGCCACTAGTACGCGTAGCGTTTCGGGCAAGTCCTTAATCCTATGGTCCCTGGAATACGATCCCCTGCCGCGAAGAATCGTTTTTTCATCCAAGTACACATTTTACTGTTGCGTTAAACAGAGGCTACAGTTAAGGAATTGAGCCCAGTAAATCCTCCCCGGCCAGGATACGAACCCATGACATAGCGCTCGCGGAACGCCAGGCGAGTGTCTTACCACTACACCACGGAGACTGCAATCTGGATTCCAGGATATAACCTATACAAGTGTGATACGAAAATTAGGTCACGTGAGGAGTAGGTCTGTATATTAGGGAAGACCTTGTATGCTCGGAGCTCCTTAACGTTACAAATGAGGTGGTAGAGGTACTGGGATTAAAAATAGAGAAAATAAACTTGGTAATTATTCTAATATACAAACCGCCAGATGCAATGGCAGAGGAATTCACAGAACAGATAAACAAAATAGAGAATAGCCTTGATAATTTGGAGAACCCGATACCTGATATCTTCCTAGGTGACTTCAACTTGCCTAGTCTCAGATGAAGAATAGCAAACAATAATATTATACCAGGAAATGTATCGGGACCTAACCAACCACAGATTAGAGAACTACTTAGATTCTGTGACAAATTTTCACTCAACCAGCAGATATCAGAGCCAACGAGATATGAAAATATTCTAGATCTGGTCCTTACGAACAACGGGGGAGGGGGGGGGGGGAAAGTACGCAACCATTTGGACGGTCGGGGATTGAACGCCGACCTTAAAGAAGCGTGACCATCGCTCTACCGTCCAGCCCAAGTTATTTATTAAGGAGTTCATGAGCTCCGAAAGACTACGAGGTTGACTATGTACCAATAATAATTTTGCAGCGTTTCGGAGCTCGTAAATTGCTTAATAATATAAACTATGCCGTCATGATCGAGGAAAGATGTACAGGTTTCGTAAGTGGATTCTTAAGTGCTTGATGAATTCTGGCATTGATATTCAGAAGGATCGTAAATCATGTTTTCCCATTGTTCCTTTGGGTCGTTTGACCCTCGATAAACCTCTTGGTGAATCTGATATCTTATTGTTTACTCTCTGTTTCTGTCTTTCTGTTATCTGTCTATACGTTCTCTTTTTATTTTTGCACTTTCCGATACCTTTGATGATACTTTCTTTTCCCCCTTTGATATCACTTTCCCTGGTTCACTGTCTCTAATGTTACTTTCTCTTGCTGTCTATCTTCAATCTCTCATTTTCTCTTATCTGTCTATCTTTAATCCAGCAGTATATTATTGCACTGCTTCATTGTTTCTTATGCGTCAATACACTGTATTCGTGTGACATCATTTTTTTATTATAAAATAATTACAAACAATACACTGATCATTTCAGAGTTATATGAACTATTATTACTCGATCAGATATATATTATATAAAATCTAGAATAAACTTCATACACTTAAAAAAAAAAGATATTTTAATTAAATGTAACCATAGACTACAGGGAACTAGTTTAGGAGATCTAATATATTTCTCATTTATTTTGATCAGACTTTAGTATACATTACACTTAAATTATGCACGAACATTAAGCGTTTTTCACTTATACCCATTTACTGGAATGTAATAAACATTTTGCAAAATAACAGGGTAGACTATTCGCTTTAATATATCGTATTTGAAGAGGAAAAGAATAAAAGCATACACATTTGACATGCATTTGTTGTTTTGCTTTCAGTAGATTAGTCAAATAATTAGCAACAGTGGACGTATAATTAGCCAGCGTACAGGCCTACGTCTACCAGACACAATCAACCTAAAAACGGGGAAGACCCAAAAAAAAAACGGACCATGTATGTCTACTCTGTTTATCGATCAAGTTCATGTTCGTTGTGTCCATGTACTCTCCAGCCAATGAAAATTATCTCTCGGGAAAACTCCGCCCAACAGAAAAATTGTGGCCAATCAAAACCTGCCATTCAGTAAACTCCACCCAAGAGAAAAATGTCAACCAATCCTGGCTCGTTATTTTTTCGCCCCGCCCACTTACGCTGCACTTGTGTTTTCCTGTAGCTGTTCCCATGAAAGTTAATATATTTGGTACAGTGCCCCTCGGATAACATACTACTTGTAAATGGTTTCTGGTTTAGATTATATTTACCTTTTCATATGAAAATTAAGGTAGCAAGGCAAAAAAAAAATATGTTATTATCACTTTAAAATGACTTAACGACTTCATTATTAATTTGCTATAACATGAACAATGTATTATGGTGTGGTTGATGGCACAGCTTACAGTGGACCCCTATACAAGGGCCAGACAGCCGTCCCTCACAACCAACATGAAAAAGGACTGTGTGAACGTTTGTCAGATGTCAATACGGCTTTACTGACTTCCCTCGGCGATGTACAAATGAGCTGACATCAGAGCAATCTTACCCAAGCAGCAACTGGAGGATATTACAATAAATCTGGTTCTTGTTTTGAAATACTTGATCATTTATTATAAATTTATATTAGTCAGATTTCCTATATTCAGGAGGTAAAGCTACTTATATTCTGGACGTTAGGCTTCATGTATTGTGGATATCAGGCTACCTATATTCAGGAAGTTAGGCTACCTGCATCCAGGAGGCTAGGCTACCTATATTCAGGAGGCTAGGAAGGGAGGAATTATCAGAAGAAAGTGCTAAGCCATTACGACTATATAACACTTGGAAGGGGTCAGGATAAGGATTTGGGATAGGACGGGGGAAGAGGAATGGTGCCCAACCACTTGGACGGTCGGGGATTGAACGCCGACCTGCATGAAGCGAGACTGTCGCTCTACCATCCAGCCCAAGATTCAGGAAGTTAGGCTACCTGTATTTAGGAAGTTTGGCTACTTGTATTCAGAAGGCTAGGCTAGCTATATCCAGGAGGTTAGGCTACCTGTATTCAGGAGGCTAGGCTACCTGTATTCAGGAGGCTAGATTACCTGTATTCAGGAGGCTAGGTTACCTGTATTAAGGAAGTTTGGCTACTTGTATTTCAAGAAGTTAGGCTACTTGTATTCAAGAAGTTAGGCTACTTGTATTCAAGAAGTTAGGCTACCTGTATTCAGGAGGCTAGCCTACCTGTATTTAGATGGTTAGGTTACGTATATTCTGAGAGTCGGGCTACATATATTCTGTAGGTCAGGTTTCACATTGTGGAAGTATAAGCAACCTGTATTTTGAAGGATAGGATACATACAAGGTAATCCATATAATCTGGAGATAAAGTTACCTATATTTAATTAATTAAGACAGGCTACCTATACACTTTAAAGTTAGGCTACCTGTATTCTGGAGATCAGGTTGCCTGTATTGTGGAGGATATGTAATCTTTCTATAAGTCAGACTTCTTGTAGATTCAATCCCCGCCCCCACTTAAACTTGTATTATCATTTGGCTGATTTTCCTTGTCATGATAAATATTGATATACACTATGGTACCTAACGAGGGTGAGCTTGAGATGAGGTAACTTAAGCTGCCTCATCTCTTTGTGCGTATTTATACCTCAATAAACTTATTTAAATTTTAATGGTACCTAGGCACGCTGATGTAAAGTTGCTGCTTCCAGTCATTTTACCTGTTACTTAATATTCGATCTTCTTTGTGGTTTCAACGCCGGATTTAGACTGTGAGATCCAGAGATATATGAGGCTTTAATGGGCCTGTTTGTCGAGTGGTAGCGGAGAACAAGGCTGCGTAACAACTGAACCTGGTAAGAATGCCGCCAAAACGCATAACAAATCCGTGCCAATTCGCGAGGAAAGACTGCGTTTTGAAAACTTTTGAAATATGCCTTTAGTTACTTAGTTTCAAGATATATATAATAGCAAAATACTGGCAATTCGTTCACAGTGATTCGAATGACTGAACGTATTTAATTCCTACGAGTAAAATACTCCCGTAAACGTGTAATTGTCAGAATATGAAACTGTAACTAATGACAAACATTTCTAAGATTTTAAGAGGCTCCTTTAGACTGAGAGGCTCTTAACTGGTGATGTTTGGCTTATGACTAAATCTGGTCCTCTGTCATTTAGGTCAAAGTGTGGGCCGTGCAGAGTGAGGGTGGAGATGCGTGGGTCCTGCAGTGAGGGTGGAGATGCGTGGGTCCTGCAGTGAGGGTGGAAA